GCCATGATGGCGTTTGAGTGATTTTTCGTATGCCTTATTGATGACTCCGACTAGATTTTCCGTCTTACTTTTATCTGGCGTAGATCTGTACTCCTGCACCATCAATGTGAGCATTTCCAGCATGAACTCGAGTCCTCTGAAAATAAGTCCACCTAGAAGGAAAAAATACAGAACTTTTTTTAACTAACCTCTTCAACCACAAAAGACCTTCAGTGGCGATTCCGAGATTGCCGCCGTGGTCTCTTAGATCGCTGTCTATCAAATCTTGCAAATAGCGTTGACCTGAACAGATTCGATAGCAGTTGGCAGTACTGACTCAAAAAACGCGTATCTAAAATTACCTATCCGATCCTTTTCGAACCGCGTACGAACTTTGACGACATTACCATTGATATCAGCTTTAACTGGAGAAAAAGCAGTTCCCAAGAAACCTAAAAATTAAAATGATCCCTTTTCGCAATATGAGTTCACTTGAAACTGTAAGAGCGCATGCTGAACTAAGCCCAGAGGGAGGGAAGGGGAGTGAGGGCACCTAGAAGTTATCTCGCAATCAGGGTACCAAACAATCCTTAAACAAAGTTTACCGTGATTGGAGAAAGCAGTCATGGCGCTAGCTGGCGCCATTTGGTGCCAAAAACCAATGTCAAGGTCATTATGAGGGAACTGAATCACCTCTACATGAGCAACTGCCGTCAGGCTTCCTACCGTCTATGGTCTGTGTTTTATCTCAAATCTACTTTTCATCCTACGATTTAGCGTGAAGTATGTACGCGGCTTAAGGCTGCTTTCATACTATGCGGGCGTGGAATGCGTGGATAGTGCCAGCTATCTATGATGGTGTGTCAATGGACAGGTAACTCTGACTGCTGGTTTAAAGAAAAGCGCCAGCATAAACAGTGGAAAGCAACGGCACTGACAGCTGGCGTAAGGTATTAAAGCAGTCCTAACGTGATTAGCAAAACATTCCATGAAGCACAGACATGCGAACAAGCAGGCATTTATGAGGGTTCAGCACAATCGACCATATCCACACGGTCACGAGACTCATTGAAGTTTCACGAGAGTGCAAGATGACGCCGTGTCTCACATTCGTTGTTTTCAAGGAGACTTTGACTCTGCTGAGATAGAGGCAGTCGAAGAAGCCCTTTACATTATTATGACAGTGTTGACTAAAGGGTACGAATGACTTTTGTTTAATCATGCTTGTCGTAAAAGCTTCACTCTACCTGTTACATTGCTTTCTATTTTTGATTACGAAATTTTTCTAGTGCTACGGAAAGAAAGGAAATCAAAATGTAAATTCTTACCAACGAAGTCAGCGATTCCTTGACACGCACTCAGGAACTGTTCCGTTGGAATTCTGCCGTCTTCAAGGTGTGGAAAAAGATGCTGTGGCTTAGAAAAATAGGTTTCTTCCTCTAGCGGACTACGGCCACTCATCGAGATCTGCAATAATGCTGCAGCAAAGACTGTTTCCATTCCGAACAGAAAGAGTCGCGAACTTTATTAGTTGAAAATTTTAGCGCCAACTCTACTATGACTGCATTTAGTGCGCTTTTATTGCAAGCTTCTTTCACACTTTCGCGCCGACGTGCGTCTAGGGTGGGACTCAAAATACTATCGCGTACGCAACATCATTGCTCATGCTTGCGTCGTTTGTCGACTATAACTCAAAGGAAGTACAATGCCAAGGATCTCCCGCCATTTGCAATGAATGTGCACTCGTACATTCCGCCCTTGTAGCCCTAACCTAAACACCGCTTTCCTTATCTAGTTTGAGCATGTAAACTTTAAGGGAAAAAAGGGCAGTGGTTGTGATGAGGTAAGAGGTGGTGAGATCGACTCCTTGTCGAACCTGCTTTTGCTTTTTTAGCGACATGACAGAAAAAAAAACTTTACTCGCATCACTCAGTTACGATCTCGTAACGTTTTCTATATCTCCTAGTACGATGGGAGCAGTTCCTTATATCTTTGGGCACTGCAGCCACATGACTGCCCATGGCGTCCGTAACGTATGTGCCAAGGGTTTTCGCACGAAACAAATATGGTTTTCGATATAAGGGTGTGAAATTAGGACCGGAGCGAATCCCTAATCAACACTAAAACGTTGACCATTCGAAAAAAAGGGATTTTACTTACCATCAACCTATACCGGAAGCTAACCTTGGATGAGAGTTTTAGGGATACCTCTGCTATATTGTCAACAGTTTTGGAGATCTGCACTCTATCTGCAAAAACCAATTACCCGTGCGATACAATATCAAACCCGAATGGGAATGATTTTCGCAAAGCATTAAATTTCGCGGCTCTGTGTTCGCTGCAGCGTGCCAAGACATACAAGTTCAATCGTAGACATTCTTTGCTTACACTTTACCGTTTCTGGGACGTTTGACCTTTATTCTGGAAAGGAGCTAAGATTGTGGAAACTGATGATGTCAGAGATACAAATAAGACAGAGTAGAGCGAATGCAATTGGCTATGGCGGGTAAATTTCACCTTCGAGGTCGACTTGAGGCTGATGGAATTGGTGCCCATCTCCCACAAGGAGATCGGCTTCATGCCCTGAAGTTCAAAGGCAAACTATCTTCACCACTAGACAAGAGGTAAAAATAAGATTCCAGAAAGGCGTCGACGCCGCTACATGGCCTTCCTCTTATCTGGAAAAAGCATTCGACCGTCTACCCCTACCAGTGCTCTGGGAGGCTTTAAGGAAAGGAAATTTCTGAACATCTTATCTCCCTTCTGAAGAAATGAAAGGACCCAGTCGGTGGGGCCAAGGATCTGTATGCACTCTATGCAAACTTACAAAGGAGTGAAGCATCTCGGTTTAGGATACACCAAGAATCACTCCTGAGCCTGTTCCTCTCTCCTGCCACTGTACATCATGGTGAAAGGTCTCATAGACACACAGACCACAGAGGACCATTTCTTTACACTGATGACGTCGCCCTGATAGCGGATTGAAGAAAAAACCGGGAGAAAGTGCGGGGGGGCCCCGAAAATAAAAGGAAGGGAGGCGTAGAATGAGTTCCTGACTGTAAGTGAAAAAAGTGACGTTCCTGGGCTGAAAAAAAGCATAGGGTCCACCGTCATTTGCATCGATGAAAGCAAGTTCGAGGACTATCCTTTCTAAGAGAGTAGGTAGCGCCTTATGGTAGCAAAAAGTACAGCGCTGTAAAATGAAGATTAACCGCAAATGATAAAATGAAGCCTGTGTTGGCGTTGCTCGTCAGAATGAATCGGCAAAGTTCCACCCCAACTGTGTGATTAAGGACTAGGTGCTCTAAGGCCGAGCCGCGTGCTGGCCTTGGGATGCAACCATGAAAACTAGCTTTACTTCACTGGAATGAAGATGCTGAGATGGGCACACGGCTGGGCGAGAGCGAAAAGAGCGAGAAAAGATAACGTTAGAGCGGTTATGTAGGCAGCTTGTTTCCAATTGAATTGATAAGAGCAACGACTGCGATGGTGCGGAGCTTAGGAAACATTAGATCGCCTAATAAAAGAGCGGTGAAATACGAAGTGCAGAGCAAATGACCACAAGGAGTCTCAAAGAAAAGGTGGAGGGACGTCATAGAGGAATAACAACAACAGTAGACCCTGCGATGGCACGGAACTAACGCCACGGTGAAGAAGACGTATAACGCATTTCTTTGGGCTTGGCTTGGACAACTAGTGCGATCAGAAGTAGTGTACCTCTGTCGATATTGAGTAGACTGCCACCAAGTAGAAACAGTGCTTAGGTAGTTGGGGGGGAGGGAGGCGGATAGGGGGGGGCAGCTGCCAGGTGCCAGGTGTATTCCACAGAAGGCGATTATTTTGCTTTTCACAGCGCGAAACTTTTCATTCTCTGTGACAAGAAACTGTCCAAATTCACCCCGAATCATTAGTGGACCCGGGTGTCCGCAGCGAAAAGGCATGCCGCTGCAAAGAGCGAAAAAGTCGTTCTCTAATAGCGATCCACACCCGTCGCCGCAGAGGCATGTTCGTGCCCTCCAGTGCAAAAAGAGGAATCTGAGAGCCATGGGGAATGTAGCCAATTCAGGGGAGGAGGTGGAGAGTGAGGTGAGTCACTTGACATGCGTGAATAGAATGTGCGAGTTTGCAGTCTTGCTGAGAGGGCGCAGACGTGCCGCACATCGCACGATTGCCCCCCCCCCCTCTCTCACCCAACAACAGTTACGCCTTGGAAATCACCTTAACCGTGACATTCCATAGATAAGTATGATTGACAAAGTGACGCTATCAGAACTGCAAAATCGAAATTGGTACCAGTATGGTAAGACACCGACCGTCGTCGTCAGGCCGATGTCAGACTTTGCGAATCCGTTCGTGGTGTTTTGGCTGACTGCAAATCGAGGAGAAGGAGCGATGAGCCACCGCCTCGAAAGCTGCACCAGCGATCTAATCGCTGATTCGGCTGAGCATCGCTCAATACCCTCTCGTGCTAGCGGACGAACATCTAGCGAATGCCAATTAAAGCCCATTCAGGAGGTTTCGCGGGAAAAACCACACCAATAATGAAGTTGTAGATGAAAACCAGACGATTAATGTATGAAAAACTGGAAAAAAACGTCGGGGAGGGTCTTAGACAGGTACTCTCCCTCTGCCGCTCAGCAATGGATAAAGACGCACGTTGGACGAGTTGTCTGAACGTGCCCGCTGTAAACGCGCTCCATTTTTCAATCAATTTTCCCTGTGGTCCCAAAACGAGCACGATTGCCGACGCGTCCAATGACGGCCGGCAAGGGGGCGGGATTGGGGAAATCCCCAAGAACACCCATGTTTGAGGGACTTTCCACCCTGTTTTTGAGTTTCTGAGGTAAGTTCGTTTATTATTTCCACTGCATATGTTCTAACTTAGTTGGGGGGGGGCCACGCGGCGGCGCGGCAGTCTGCTCACCTGGGCTCTCTCGAGCGAGACAGTGTAAACTCGAACATTCCAGCTTTTCACGCATGTCAAGTGACTGCCCCACCCCCACCCCCCTAGACTGCCTACACTCCCCCTGGCCCACGGATTTCCGAACATGCCAGGCGAGCAGACTGCCGCGCCGCCGCGTGGCCCCCCCCCCAACTAAGTTAGCACCAAAATTGTTCTTCACTCGCTGTGTATCCTTCAGTTAGTAGGCAGTCGAAATATTTCGGCCCTGCCTGAACTGTTGCTTTAATTCGCTGGCGTTCACGATTTCTGCTGTTTGCTTGATCTCCGTCGATCACACGGGGACGCGCTATTTTCGGTGGTTTCACCAGAAATTGCTCGCCGCTGAGCGGTTGCGATCACTTACCCATTTCGTGTAGATAGAGCTTGAATAGGTTTTTCTATGTTCGTGCAGTAAATATGCTTTGAGCTGCACATCGACAGTGCTTGTGATGTGTAATTATCAAATGGAGCTTCAACCTGCGTATCCCGACTATACTAATGAAAGGGACTCCTCTGTCACGCATCTGGTTACAATATAAATTTATCTTCGTTGTTGCTAACCGTCCCGAGATTCACAGAACCAAAGAAAATAAATGGATACGTAGGGATTGAAGGGATTGAAGAAATGGAAAATCCACAAAGAAGCTGTCACGGCGTCAAGGAAACTTTAGTCATAGACCCTGCTCCTGGTACAAACCTACTATCATCCTAGCTTTGAACCACTTCTTTCCTCAGCGCAGATCATCTAATCATGCGCTAATTTCCTCAAGAGTCCGTTGACGAGGGGAAAGGAAGGAGGCGGGAATCACCTCGTTCTTCTTTCAAGAAAGAACTGCCTATTCGTCCTCTCACCATTGAATTGCCAACACGTATCTACCCAGTTACGACCCTCCCCATCTCATGTTTAAGTCTACTTGACTCGGGCTCAGCTTGGTTCGGCATTGTTCATAACCAACAACAAGGAGAATATGCGGAGACAATGAAGTAATTATATCATCGGAAGAATCGAATATGGGAAAATATACAACAAAACAAAACGACATCAATTCGGGTAAAAATGCTTTTTGCGATTTTTGTAAATGCTTTTTGTAAACTCCTCCTACCATCCTATTGTCAACTGAGAACATGCATAGGTCGTGGTCACGATTTGCGATTTTCGTGGAGTATGTACGTGCCGATCATGCGATCGCACAACCGCATGATCGATGCGTATCTACTCCACACTCGAACTACAAAGCAAACTGCAAGGCGGTCGCAGTGTGATCACAACCTTAATTATGTGTCCCCTGCATGCATTTTGGGAGAATCCACGGCCTTTCATATTTTTCTTACTCGAGGCAAATCTTTTCATTTCGCAGAAGCAACCATTGTGTAGCCTGTGAGCAATGATTCATTGCCACCCCTTGACCCCCTTGACTACCATCAATAAATTCGCAGCGTCTTCGCTAGAAACAACAAAGGATTCGATATAGTTATTTCTGGTAGTATAGCGGACGAAAAAAAGCATGAATACTTGCAACATTTACTTTTCCGTGAGTGACAGCAAGAATTTACGAAC